AACATGATATCATCGAATGAATTTTGTTTTGTTTGAATCTGATGTGATAAATCAGCGTATATTTTATCTAACTGTGCTTGATGTTCAATTTGAATTGCTTGACAAAAATCTGACAACGTTTCTTTAACTAAATCGAGATGATGCTCTTCTACTCGCTAGTTTAAAATAAAGTAAAATGTGTCCTGAGAATGCGTTTATTCCGACAAATTCACAATTTAATTTCTAAAGTCCTGCCACATCTAAGAAAAAAGTTGACAGAATTGCTCAGAAATCTATGGTTTGAAATCTTGTATTTTCTGGAAGATATCATAGTTAATTAGTGGGTGGATAATAAACATATTTAGAACTATCAATATCGATATTCGATATTTCATTCGAACTATTTTTGATAGAAAGTACCAATATGAGTATTATGTCGTCACATAATATTTTTCTGGTAGAGAAAAGTACGTAAGAAAATACTTGAATGAAACGTTATTTTGCGTATGATAGAATGGGTAATATATCAGATGTTCGCAAAAAATGACTTTTTTTCAACACTTGATGTTGAGAACTGGAAACAAGAAATTTTCTCTCGGCTACGATCGAGGTGCTTGCAGTTCACGAGTACAAAACATTTTATATATTACATAATAAGTTTCAACTAGACCACACTAACGAGACATGTGCTAGGTCTTGATCGGCAACTAATATCTGTGAATACGAAAACTGAATTTTACCTAAGGATCATTTCATGATTTAAGTTTAATTTTTAGAAATAGCAGCAGTGCAGTAAGCGTTAACGCGCTTTTTTTGTCCAATTGTTTATCGTCATGAGTTTCTATTACTGATAAAAGTTTCAGCTTTCTACTAAGATATGATATCAAGAAAACGAATTCAAAAGTCTCGCAAAACATTTTGTGAGAAACTCGGGTTTTCCCAGGAGTGTAATACAAATCATTCTAGAAAAATGAACTTATTTGATTTCCAAGCAGACCTTGATAGAGAAATAATGTAACATTTTGCTCGGTTGGACCAGGATTCTTATTGAAAAAATTGAACGTAAAAAACAGAAACTCTAGAACCACAACAAGTTTTCTAGAACTCTACGTCATTACTCTACATGCAACAAAGGATGATACAGTGTATAGAAGCAAATGGAAAGAAGAGGAAAAAGTCATATTTCATGATTAATTTTTATTCATAAAAAAAAGACTGGGATACATATGGCCGGAATGAGTCGAAGAAAAGGCCGATATTAAATCGTATGGATATTCAAACAGTTTCATGTAAAAAGAATTTTCGCGATGACGACTTTTTACATGAGAAATTTGTTTAAATATTCATGCGCTTTGGTACTGCCCTTCTTACACAAGGTTTTTAGTGATATGCTAGCATGGGTTTTCGTTGTACAGGTTCCGTGCTTTAACGAACGCAACCGAGTATGAACAGTACAATTAGGTTAAAAACATCATCAACAACAAAAAATTAATTTTCAAATTACTGAATTTTAAGGACAGTTTTGCTTGCGTATTCAACGTCTAACCATGATGCAAGACGATCAATTTCTCCCATCGCGTTTCCTCTAGTTTAAGTATAAAAAAGTAAAGACGTCTAGCCAATTTGATACAGGTAAATCTCTAGGAATCCTCTGTTCAGAGAATCTTGTCGATATTTAACGAAAACGTAGATTATATGCCTTGTGCTATTTGCTGTCATTAATTGAATATAAACTATAATTTGATGGAAGGCGCAAAATGATGGATCACAGAATTAAGAGAAAACACCTGAAGTAAAAGACGAAGACATTCAAATTATCACACACAAACAGACACATATCAGGAAAACGCATTCTGAAACTTAGTCGCTAACATATTAATTGTTGGATTTTGTAAACTTTGAGGTAATTTTTGTAGACTAGCGGGTAATTTTGATTGTATGGATTGAGATGTATTTTGTAGTGTGTTTTGAAGTGAATTAGGCAGACGTGGTGTAGGAAATTTAAACGCAGAGCCTCTTGCTCCTACTGTCATAGGTGGTGGCACAGGATTGGATCCTTTAGGGCCAATACCGTTGCGAATAATATTTGAAGATGCTGAAGGTATTGTTGACGATGTGTTGGAGATGTTGGTAGTTGATTGATGATCACTTAAATTTGTTGATGAACCTTTATCACCATATTTCATCTCATAGTATTTTCGGACAACATTAGGTGTTGTTGGTGCACTCATTCCACCCCCCATTAATGACAAATTACCCATGTCTGATGATAATGCACGAGAGGATGGATTCTGAATTGTCATTTGTAAATTATGCATTTGTTTCTCTAATGAATAATTTTCATTTTGAGCAGCCAATAATTCACGCCTGAAAGATGCATAATAGACTTGACGTCTGCTGAATAGAAGATTAAGAAAGGAACTTACATGATTTGAAGTTTGTGTTTCCGTACAATATCGTCCAACGGTGAATACTCCGGTTGAAACATTAAATGTGTGTAAAATGTCTCTATTTCAATAGTGACGCCATGATGTTCATTCAAGTAGCCGTGATGGGTAAGCTAAAATGAAGCAATTGACACAAGCGTCGAGCGAATGCACATCACTTACCTCTTCAACATCCAATGTTGTACTTATCTCTAATCCTTCATCATTATCTTTTTGCGAATAATACTTCGTTACTGGTTTTTGAAATACGGATGTAGTTATTTTTGTATCATCATGATTTCTCACCGTAATGTTAAAACAGATACATCTCACATAACCAACCGGTATTTTAAATATATCTTGATAATAAAGACGAATTATAAAACATTGTTCTTCGATGTAGGCTTCAACGGTCCACGCCTGCTTATCTTTATCAATAAAAGGAACAGGAATAGGATGTTGAGCAAATGGATCAACAATAATTGGAAACACAGCTAAAAAATAATCATCTGTCAGTATGATTATGTAATGCGAACGATAGGAAGTGCGATAAAAAGTGTGATAATAAGTCACAACCAGACCCGTGACAGTTTTCACGGTTTCCATTCTTTGAACTGAAGCTGCTTCTCAATTATCGTTTATTGAATACAAACTGTTTTCAGCTTCCGTTTCTGAACTGGGAACGGCCCAGGGGTTGCGTTCATAGGAGCGAGGAACTGTTGATGCTCTCCTTAGTTAGTTTACATTTTACCGAACATTTTGAAATTGAAATGTTCGGTATATGAAAACAGAGCACTAAGAAAGAGAGCATCAACAATTTCTCGTTCCAAAACAACTATTTTAAAAGATTTGTAATTATACGGTCTGTAACTGTATACAAAGTAGACACCACAACTTCAGAACACGTTGGAGGCTGGTTGAAATCTTTCGTTCCACGTCGCTCAAAGGAATGGAATGCACTTCCTTCGATTTTAGCATGTCAGTCTTCTTTATCTGTATTTAAGTGTATGTTAAGAGATCACCTAGGCTCTCAATAATTTTTATGTTTAGATCTACTCTTTCTCTTAAAATGTATCGCATTTATGTTTTCTCTGACAATGTATGTGTTATAGTGGCGATTCTTTTTAAAAACTTTTTAGTTTAAATTATCTTGAGGTATCTCCGGATGCCACAAGTCTTTTTGGTACTTTTTTGTGATATCCTACCTTTGCTTAAAATAAATTTCAGTTCGATTCAGTTCAGACGAACTCTTGTCGTAAGTCTGAAGTATCAAAATCTATCTCATTTACAAAGCTATCGTTTATGAACGATTCGACACTCGTTTATACTTTTTTGGTCGAATTAAATGTGTTCATGTGTTTACTTACTAACAGCATCTTTCAAATCAATATTAATGACAAATTTTCCATTTGTTTGTAATAATTCTCGTACTCGATCAATTCTATACGGTCTACACATTCCATTGACATCTGTATAATTAACTTCATTATCAGTTTTAGAGGGTAATGATTGTTGTTGTGGTCCATTCGATAATCGCTCTTGATTTGCATCCCATACAAAATTTCCATTTACTAATTTGACTCTATATGTTAATTTGACTGAATGATCACACGGTGTTATACGTTGAATATACAAACGAAAATAGCCTAATTGTCCGACACTATCGAGTTTTGGTTGTATAATACAACACCACTCATAATTTGAATAAAAGAAATGAGATGTTTCTATTTTTTGATCTAACGGTTGTTTAGTCATCACGTGTCCATATGGCGATTGGGCATGTGAGGGTATTTGTACTTCGTACATGTAGCTACAAGCTAAATTTTTTATCTCTAATTCACACTGAATATTTCCACGTTCATCCATAAAATCAACAGAACATAAACGATTTATAGATGTAAATGATTTTCGACCATGTAACGTAGTTGTACGATTAAATTTACATTGTTTTTCGACAAAATTTTCATTACGTGTAAAATGTTCACGACATAATAAATTTAATGAGAAATCGAGAGTGACTTCGAGCGATTCCGATATATTACGTCGAAGTAGAAACGCATTTAATTGATCACCATTTTTTACAAAAGATAATACAAATGGTATGTGTTTACAAATAAATTCGCGTGTTAACAATTCTTCCTCAGTATTCAATAGGTACGAACTTGGTAAGATAAATGTGAATAAACTAGAAGGATAAACAGTATCCTCTATTAGAAATAATTCACATTGAACAACATTTTACCGCTAAGACTAACGTCTTAGATTTTTTATCATAAAAACAAATATATGAATTGCAGCACTTGCTCCTAGACGAGAACTATTCTATAGAGACCGTCTTCTTTCTCATGACTAGCGTATCACTTTTTGTTTCGCACCTTGGGTCCGATACCTTGAGCGCCATTTATTTCTTGATATATTAATTAGAACCAGACTACTAGTATCTCTCTTCAACCGTTTGAGTTCAAATATCACGACAGAGAAAAACTGATGGATTTAGATCCTGTAGAAAAAGGTATTGTAGGTCCGATATGTCTTCTACATGCGAGGGATGTATAGTGCTTGGCAAGCCGATATACGATAATTCTACTGAAGAGTTAACTTTTCAAATAGAGAGAATTGATGTTTTAGAAAAAACATTTTTTTTCATATATCTGCAATTCCGAGAATGCATTAGATACACAAACGTGTTGTAGGGTATTGCTTTACTCCGTGGAACATGATGCATGTTATAAAAATTATTTTTATTCAATGGAACAACTTCCTTCGGTATATTTTTTAAACTGTTTTACACAAATACCAAATGACTTGAATTTAACGTGTCAATATTGACAAGCCAAATTTCTCTCATATCGAAGCTCAAATAATCTTGTTGAGTATTGCTAAATATGACTACAACAAAATGAAGAAACGTGTGTTCAAATATTTTTGTGTAAAAGTTTATGTTGACTTCATCTGATGAACATAGGTCTCCAGGGAAAATAAAGTGAATTGATTAATTGACAATTCTCTATGGTATTTTGTGTATGAAGAAAGAGTTGAGTAAGTAGGGTTTCATATGAATAAGATCTGTGTAAATTTTGAAATCACTGTTTCATTCTTGAAGTTCTCTTTGAATATTGTTTAAAATAAGTTTGCTACATCTTTTGAATATCATAACTAAGTATACATGTATAATTGTTAATGTATTATATTTACCTAGTTTGAGATTTATCTTCAATTGCAACAAAACGTGTAAAATGTGCCATAATTTTACATAAATAATCATTAATTAATTAGAAAATTTTTAAAATTTTTCATGCATAGCATGTACATATATCTGAAAATAAAATTTAATCTATAATTATTTTAAAAAATCACAAGAGATTATTTCTAAATTAATAATATCCGTTGTAAAAATGTCTTCATTGATCAAACATTATTACGCAATGATGGATATAAAGAAAGGGTATCAATTTTTTTGATCACCAAAAAAGTGACTTTTGATCACCAAATTTATTAGCAGTGAAATGATCACCAAAAAATAAGACTTTTGATCACCAAATCAATTAAAGAAGTTTTAATTAAAGAA